AACAGAGCTGCATTCTGGGAAAGCTCTGAGAGTCGCTCAGCACTTCCTGATGGTAGAGTAACTGTCTGTCCTTCCTCTGCAGGTGCAGTTTGAGGTGTCAGATGCCACAAAAAGAAGGTTTCCTGATGCTGCGTTTGATGTGGTTTACAGCAGAGACACGATTCTGCATATCAGGGACAAACTTGACCTCTTCAGAAAGTTTTATGTGAGTGTTCTCACAAGTAAAATCCTGCATGTGTGCATTAATTTCATGTCTGTCACTTCATATGTCACAGAAATAGCTTACTGTATGTGTGCGCATTAGGGTTGTGTGTGTGTATGAGGATATACAAATGATTATCTGTGTGCTGTAGGTCTAAATATACTGTCACTGGGTAGCAGGTGTTCCAGTGAATATATGTGTGTAGCTTTTTGTGTATGTGGTTTTAACAGTTATCTTCCCCTTGAGCCTTCTTTATTTTTTTTTTTACTAAGACTCAAATAAGTGACACATTATGTATGGCTTATAAAAACAAGCCTTTGCATTTGTATTGAACTATGGAGGATTCATCCAAATAGGCAAATGCAGTGATGTACAGTAAGCAAATGCTGATGTGGAAAATAATTCTCAGGAAATAAGAGAAAAGAATGTGCGTTTTCTGCCCTCTACTGGACAAATTAGGTATTGTCTTAGAAGTGATGAAATAATGTGTATTTTGAGTTAACTGTTCTTTTAATGTGTGTTTCAGTCATGGCTGAAGCCGGGCGGGAAACTTCTGATCAGTGACTACTGCTGTGGAGAGAAGCCTTGGTCTCCAGCGTTTCAGGATTACGTTAACCAGCGGGGATATATCCTCTACACACCTCAGAGATACGGACAAGTACAGACCTCATATAAAATCATAGTGTACTATTAAAGCTTGTTTGGACTGAGATTTAGTATTGATCTGTTATGTAATGCTGATATCGGTAACTATGCTGAATATGCCACACAAAAAAAAACTGGAGCAGGAACAAAGGGCTTGTTTATTCTCTTGCTGAGTGTGTTTGTGTGTGTTTTTCAGTTCCTGAGCGAGGTGGGATTCAGTAATGTTCGCGCTGAGGACAGAACAGAGCAATTTATTCAGGTTATAAAGGCTGAACTGCAGAGAGCCGAGGAGATGAAGGAGGAGTTTATACAGGTAAACACACACTCCTGCTCATGTAACGTCTGCATTACATTTACAACCACACATTTGCATACTGTTGGAGAAAATATTTTCCCTTTTCCCCTCCCTTTTCATTTAAGCTACATTTGCAGGCATTGAAGACATGTTTCACTTTCATTTAAGAGGTAGTTCACCCCAAAATGCAAATGCACTCAACCTTCCAATGCAAGCCATTCAAGATGTAGATGAGTTTGTTTGTTCATGGGAACATATTTGGAGAAATCGCCTGCTCACCAGTGGATCCTCTGCAGTGAATGGGTGCCGTCAGAATGAGAGTCCAAACAGCTGATAAAAACATCACAATAATCCACAATTAATATTATGTTGAGCGGACACATATTTCATCCAGAAGCAACAGTTTAAAGTTAAAAATGTCTTAAAGGGATAGTTCACCCAAAAATAAAAATTCTGTCATCGTTTACTCACCCTCATGTCGTTCCAAACCTGTATGAGTTGCTTTCTTATGTTGAACACAAAAGAAGATATTTTGAAGATTGTTGGTAATCAAACAGTTGGTGGTTGCCATTCACTTCCATAGTATTTTTTTTTCCTATTATGGAAGTCAATGGCAACCACCAACTGTTTGATTACCAGCAATCTTCAAAATATCTTCTTTTGTGTTCAACATAAGAAAGCAACTCATACAGGTTTGGAACGACATGAGTGTGAGTAAATGATGACAGAATTTTCATTTTTGGGTGAACTATCCCTTTAAGGATTTGTTTCTTATGTAGCTTTCACTTCACAAGAATTTAATTGAGGGACTGGTGGTGTGGATTACTTGTGGATTATTGTGATGTTTTTATCAGCTGTTTGGACTCTCATTCTGACGGCACCCATTCACTGCACAGGATCCATTGGTGAGCAAGTGATGTAATGCTACATTTCTCCAAATCTGTTCCCATGAAGAAACAAACTCATCTACATCTTACATTTTTAATTTTTGGGTGAACTATTCCTTTAAAGTTTGCATGAATATTGTTGGAAAGCAAGCAGCTTACAGTGTACTCTTGTAACCTCTGTCTCCTCCACAGGAGTTCTCTCAGGAAGACTATGATGCCGTTGTAAACGGATGGACAGAAAAACTGCAGCGCTGTGAGACTGGAGACCAACGCTGGGGGCTTTTCTATGCCACCAAAGAATGAGAGAGAGAGGAACAATCCAACTAATGATCAAATTCAAATCAATATATTTCAGATGCTATATTAAACTCACTGTTCTATCTAATTCTGTGAATTGCACAACAGTGCGCAAGCTTTGAGTATCAGAGCTGTAAGACCGACATACTGTTATGCAGCATAAATTAATAAAATTCTACTTTTCTATATTATTTTATTAGTTTGTTGTTTTGATTGTATATGCTTGGGCTTTTAATGTGTTTGATCAAATTCCTCAAAGTCAAAATCTATGATGTAAACAGCTGTTAATACACAGTGAACTTTATACCTTAATAGTAACTACAGATAAACACAGAAAAAAATACAATAAATAAATAAATAAAACAATAATATCTGCAGTTATCTTCCAAGACACATTTTTGTATTAGCTAAGCTTAATATCTCAGAGAAACCTTACAGAGAAAATCATGTCTGTCTGTCATGATTTGGTCAGTGTAATCATATATGATCTTTTTATATTACCCAAAACATAAAATACACAGACACAACAAATTGTATGTTTTTGTGTGTGTGTGTGTGTGTGCAGGGCCGCATTAACCATTGGGCTAAGCGGGGCTGAAGCCCCGGGGCCCGAGCAAGGAGGGGGCCCGTGATTGGCTGTGGAGTAGATTGACGGACATCGGTAGCGCCCATGGGCGTCGCTAGGCCATTTTTAGGGGGGCTATGAGATTTTAAAGGGATATTCAACCAAAAATTAAAATACTGTCATCATTTACTCAGTTTCAAGTTGTTCTGAACCTGTATGAATTTCTTTGTTCTACTCAACATAAAAGAAGATATTTTGAAGAATATTCGTAACCACCAGAAAATTTCTGTCCCTGTTGACTCCAGTAGTGTTTTTTCTTCTCCATACTATGGAAGTCATGGGGCACAGACACTGTTTGGTTACCAGTATTGTTCCAAATATATACACTCTAAAAAAATGCTGGGTTAAATATAACCCAGTGCTGGGTAAAATAGGGACAAACCCAGCAATTGGGTTGTTTTGACCCAGCGGTTACCTTCTGGGTAGTAACCCAACCACTGGGTCAAAACAACCCAATTGCTGGGTTTGTCCCTATTTTACCCAGCACTGGGTTATATTTAACCCAG